CCAGCTCTTACTTTACTACCAATAGCACTTACAACATCCCTGTAAAGCAGCTAGGTCAAGATGATGATCAATTTATTTCTCTTTTCGTTCTCATTTTACTAATCAGGAACTGAAACCGGGATGGCGATACGAGACAGATGTGGTGCAAGATGACTGAGGCTGGGCTGCCTCTGATGAAGGTGTTATGCACCGCTCACGAGCCTGTCTTTTCGCTGCACAGGAGCCATTTCTTCATTAATGGAACCGCTGGGAATGCCACTGCTTGTTCCTCCCAGCTGTTGCTCTGTCTGGCTTGAGAGAGGTTTTATTTCATCTTTATTTTACATTCGGCCTCTTCAGCAGATACGCGCTGCCAGTGCAGCTCACCATTTAGAGTAGCAACAGTGCAAACACAGAGAGATAAAGATCCATATAAAACAGAACAAATCAGTGGCAAAAGAAAACACCAAGTGCCAGAAGCGAACCACGTAGTGCACCTTCTGAACATGGCCCTCCTCTAGGTGATGTGAGTAGTTAGGAGGAGGAGGAGGCCTTTTTAGTGGTGGCCTTTGCAGGACGCGTTCGCTACAGCAGCTCACCTGGTGCCTTTTTATTCTCCCAGACATTTTAAAGGCTATTTTGGAATTGCTTTTAGCATTTTATCCTGCTGGTTTTAATTTGTCTTTATGTGGTGAGATGGGTTCATTCTTTGTCGGTGGTTTTACTTTGGGTTGGCTCTTAGTATTTTTGTTTCATGTTTTTAGTGTATCAAACAGTGCCCAGAGGATGTCAGTTTTGGGGCAGTTTGAAAGTGAGTAAAATCAAGAAATAAACTAAAAAGCCTGAGCGAATAGAAGTGTCTCTGGCTGATTTCACACTCAGTGCTGGGGAAGTCTTGGCAGGAGAGGAGAGATGAGCAGTCCCTGTTAAAGGACACTTATTGTCCACCGATGAAACTCAAATACTTTGGAGAAGGAAGGACTCCCTGGAGAAGAGTCTAATGCTGGGAACAATAGAGGGCAAAGGAAGAAGGGGACGGCAGAGGATGAGGTGGCTGGATGGAGTCACTGGGGCAGTGGGTGTGGGCTTGGGTGGACTCCAGGGGATGGTGGAGGACAGGAAGGCCTGGAGGATTGTTGTCCATGGGCTTCCGATGGGTCGGACACAACTTTGCGACTAACAAGAAGTGGAAGAACCCAAGGAAAAGTCTCTGTGGAAGCTTTTAGCCACAGGGGAGGCAAAGTGGCAGCCATAAAAACAGGCCCTACAGGACAGTCTTCCCCGACCACAGGCAAACACCCTCCAAATGGGTTGGATCCATCCCTCACCCACCCGGGGAATGATGATTATGGCTTTGCATTGCATTTCCATCCCACCTTGTTTCCTCTTGGACGAACCCAAGAGGCTCACATACTTCTGAAATCTTTTTATCCTCACAACAACCCTATGAGGTAGGTCAGGCTGAGTATGTCACCCAGCAAGCCTCATGACCCAGTGAGGACTAGAACTTGGATCTGCTCAGTCCCCAGTCCAGCACGCTAACTACCAAGCCACAGGGATGGGACTTCCCTTCCGCCTTGCTCTGTTTCCATGCTCCTCTGAGCAGAGCCGGGGTCAGACCAGGAGTCCAACACATCCGCCATGTTGGGGGGAAGGCTGGTATGGGGCCTGAGGAGTCAAAATCACTTGTTCCAAGCCCTGAAGGGAACGGGGGTGCCTCTTTTCAGAACCAGCAAAATGGGCAATAGGCTGCCTGCAGCTTGAAGATGATTCAACAGCCAAGCAGCCCGTTCTTGTCCTGCCGTTTTGTACACTGCCAAGAGCTTTGGGTACGGGCTGTATAGAAATGTAACAGAGGAAACAAGATGTGAATTCCTGAATGGGCTTCAAGGGCAGCCCCTCAAACAGCATGTTACAATAATCTAATCAGGAAATTCGCCAGGCGGGCACCACTGTGGCCAATCTGTATCTAGGAACGGTTGTGTCTGGCACATTCGCCTTTGCGTGTCTCTGAATCAGCCTTCCAAGAAAGGACCGAGTTGCCCTGCTTTTTTCTCTAGCAGGCTAAGCCCAGCTTTTCCTGTTTTCCTACTGCAACTGACGTGCATGCACTGCTCTGCATCAGATGCTTATTTCATTATCAAACTGCCCCTGCCTTACACTTCAGGTAATGCCCACTTTTTCGTGCGAGAATTTTAAAAAGATGAACAAGTACAATAATGAAGTGCAATTGTTCCTTCATTCTGTAAGTCTCAATTATTGTTTTTCACAGTTGCAAAAAGCTGGATTGCAAACCACCCAGAGAGCTTATAGTATACCATGGGGCATTATAGAAATGTATGAATTAAAATAAAACTGCTCTGGGAAGAAATGGAAGCATGACATCACAAATGCCAGCCAAAAACTGCTATCCAAACCTACTTTTTTTAAACTTCCAACCCACAGAAACAATGTTCTTTGGTAAATCAACAGACCATACATGCATTTCACTGAATAGATGACCCTGTGGGAAAAGTCACGTAGGATAATCTTGTAGGTTTTGTGGCATGTAAAATCAAAAGAAGGGTTTTATCCTGCTTCTCACCCAAAAGCACTTTCTGTTTTCAAAATTCATAACATTTAAATGGCATTGAGAGAGAGCTTGAAATGGCTATATCCAAGCTTAATTCTATGCCGTTCTTTGGCCCTTAAGTATGATTTGTATTAAAAATGCAGAAGGGAAAGCTCTTGTTTTCAAGGCTTACCTTTGAGACCTAGCTAGGCTCAGAAGCTGCTTTTAACAGTATGGCTCAGTTTTAGAAACCCAGGGATGTGTCTTTGGACCTTGTCAACTACAATTTCCTCAGTCATGAACTCAGTGCAGGAACTGGTTCCAGGATGAGTCAGCATGACTTCTGGGAGCCGTGCCTGGGCTCAGCCACCTGCAGTTTAGGTCTCCTTTATCGCCCTTTCACCTCTACACAGAATCAGCCCTGCAAGGTGACTTGGGGGCCACTGCACCCAGCCTCTGCTCAGTGTAGAACTATTGATGCAGGATGCAACCCCAGCACCTGAGGTAGAGATGCCCATCCAAGTCCAGCTTAAATCCCACCAGTGATTTTTTATTTATTTTTGGATTTATATCCTGCCTTTTTCCTACAAAGGGCTCAAGGCAGCTTACATCATTCTCCTCCTCCACCTTATCCCCACAACAACAACCCTGTGAAGTAGGTTGGGCTGAGAGTCTGCGACTGGCCCAAAGTCACCCAGTTGGCTCCATGGCTGAGCGGGGACTAGAACCCGGATCCTCTGAGCCCCAGTCCCGTGCTCTTAACCTCCACACCACAGCGGCTCTCTTGCACCTGGGATGTCCTGCACCTCTTGAGGCAAACTATTTCACAATCAGCTTCTCCAGAAACACTGCAGCGGTTGAAGAGTTAGGCTGGGACCTGGGAGAGCTGGGGTCTAGTTCTGCTTGGCCACTCGGCTCACGGGGTGGCCTGGGGCCGGTCACGGGCTCTCAGCCTAGCCTACCTCATAGGGCTGCTGTGGTGAGGATCACATGGAGTGGAAAATCTCGTAAACTGGCTTGCGCGCCTTACAAGAGGAAGGAAGGTGGGGCTTGAATGCTCCTTAATAATAATAATAATAAATGGCTGAAACTGGCTTCCCTATTTCCACCCACTAGTCGCAGTACTGCCCAGTGGGGCGAGGAGGGACACGTCTGCTCCTTTATCCATGGGGCAGCCCTTTAGAAACGTGGGCGTCCCCCCCCCCCCCCCACACACTTGCCCAGGCGAAGAGACCCAGCGCTTTTCAGCGCTCCTCACCCGAACCGGGCTCCAGCCCCTCTCCAGGCCCCCTAACACAGGCCCCCCACCCCGCCAGGCCGCCCAGGTGCGCGGCCCTGCGCCCGCCGGCCTTCTCCGACTGCTTCCCGGCGCGGGCAGCCTGACCGCGGCAGCAGGAGGCCACGGCGGCCCTTCACCCGGCCCGCCGGCCCTCCCCCGCAGCTCCGGCCAGCAGCCCAGGCGGGAAGCCGCCTCCCCCGCCGCCGCCGCCTCCCGCTGGGCTGCAGGGCCCGTCGCGGCGCCAGGCGCAGCCCGCGGCGCGCACTCGGGCGGGAGGGCGAGAGTGGCCGGGCGGCGGCGCCCGCTCGGCAGCCCCAGGCTCTGCGCTCGGCCGCGCGCCCTTGGCCCGGCTTGGCCCCGCAGGCAGGCAGGCAGGCAGGCAGGAGGCAGGCAGGCCAGCCGCCCGCCCCCGTGGCCGGGCCATCCATCGCCCGGGCGGCGCGGCGGCGGCGGCGACTGCCGGGCTGGAGTTGCACAGCCGCCGCTTGAGTCATCCGCACAAGGGCCGCCGGCGATGGAGCAACCGCGCGGGGCGGGGAGGAAGCGGGAGCAAAGGGCGCGGGGCGCGGGCGGCGCGCCGCTGCCTCTCGCGGGGTCACCGCCTGCGTGCCAGCGCCTCCGCCGCCGCTTGCCGCCCGGGGCCAGCCAGCCTAGCCCGGCCCAGGTCGGCCGGGGGAATCCCTCCCCTGCGCCCTGGCTCCAGCCTGGCAATTGCCGCGCTGGGTCACCGAGTGCGCGCCGCGCCGGGTGCCCGCCCAAGGCGAGGCGCGAGCAGGCAAAGGGCGCGAGAGGGTGCGCGGGAGCGAGCGGAGCCGGCCGCCGCCGCCGAAGGCCTGGAAGGGCCGAGCCAGCCGAGATGGGCGGTGGGCTCGGGGAGGGGGGGCGCCTTGCTTGGGAAGGTTTTCCCGGAGGGCGAGGGCGGCGCTGATCGCGGAGCTGCGCCGCTCCGAGGCGGCGTCGGCTTGAGCTTGGCGCCTTCCTTCGTGCCAGCCTCGCTGAGAGTTGACCCATGGCTCTGGATAGGGGTGCCGCGACCCGGCACGTCGGCAGGGCCCAAGGCGCGGGCAGCGCCCCCAGACGTGGGCAATGCCGCTGCTGCGAGCTCTCCCTCCGTGGCGCGCGCGGGCAGGGGGCGCGCGAACAGGCGCGGGGTGGGGGCGGGTGGCGCGCTCTGGTTTTCTGGATAGTGAAAGGCACGACCCTGCAGAGCGCACGGTGGCAGCCAGTGATTTAATGGAGGGGATGAGCTACCTTCCCCAAGTTCACATGCGAGGCAGGCAAAAAATGCTGCCGTTTTTCCGGAGAGCACCAGAAGAGGAGCTCTGAGTAACTGTGGAAGGCCAAGCTGCAACTGGACGGCCACCGGCGAGGGAAGGTTTAATTCTGTACTGCACTCAGCAGGGGGCTGGACCTGATGGCCCTCTGGCCCCTTCCAGCTCGACTTTTCTATGCTTCTACAAGTTGCTGTGGTCACAGGACCTGGACTGGATGGAAAGTGGAGGTAATTGGGTGTGATCCGTATGTTGATGCGTTGAATTCTACATCTCTCTCACGCAAGGCCAACTGCAAGCACAGCTTGGTAGTCAAAAGGGTGAATAAACACTGCTCCCCACCCAATCAGGGAACATGGTTTACGTGTGCAAGCAAAATTTGTGTGGGCAACATAGGCCACACAATGCTGCAGTTAGAATACTCTGCACCTGCTCACTTGGCCAGCATATATCCAGGTATGAAAAGGCATTCATGCGGATACAGGGATGCAAGAGGAAAACTGTCTGTCTGTCTGTCTTATTTATTAATTACAGTGTTAAACTGCCCAATAGGCTGACTGGGCAGTTAACAAAATCAAAGATATCAAACAAAGATAATACAACAAAACAGTAAAACCAATAAAATCACTAAACAACCAATAGCAAACAAGACCACCGTTGCCATTAAAAACAATAGCACAACAAAACTATCCAGTAAGACCACTGTTGCTGTAATCAAGTTAAAAGTACAGGCACAGGAATGATACAAAATACAATATGAAAGCTAAAGTTTAACTATTAAAACAGCTGGATAATAAACAGGTTTTCACCTGGTGCCAGAAAGAGGAAAGGGTAGGCACAAGGGGTACCTCTTTGGGGATTATAGTATTATATTTTGTAATTGAATTTGTATTATTTCTGTTTTATCCTTAGCTGGCCAGAGAGCCCTATGGGCCGTGGAGCGGCATACACATGTAACAACAACGGATTCCATAAATGGGGTGCCACAATCGAAAAGGCCCTTCTTCTGGTTGCCACCTTCCTTGTTCCCCTCTGAGAGGGCTCCTTAAGAAGGACCTCATTGGCCTGGGTAGGTACATACAGGGGGAGGCATTCCTTCAGATAACCTGGTCCCAAGCCATTTAGGTCTTTAATTGTTAGCACAAGCACTTTGACTCTGGGCCAGACTTCAGCTGGGGCTGGTGTAATATGGTCTTGAGGGCCAGTCCCTGTTAACAGCCGAGTTGCCCTGTTTTGAATCAGTTGAAGTTTCCGGACTGCTTTCAAAGGTGGCTCCACAGAGCACATTTCCGTAGTCCAAACGAGAGGTTCCCAGGGTGTGGATAACTGCAGCTAGGCTCCATCTGTCCAGATAGGGTCATAGTTGGTTGATCAGCCGAGGCTGAGAGAAGATGCTTCATGCCACTGAGTCCCAGGTATCCAGCTACAACATTCATGCTTTCCTATTGCCTATCCTTCGTACACCTTGCAGAGAAAAGGCAGTCCCCAGCCCTTCAGTCATTGTACACCCATGCATGCAACCAGGCAAATTTGTGTACGCATGCACAGCCATATGTGAATGGAAACGCACTTGTGCAACCACACAAATATGGGGATGGATTCAGGTGGCAACGTGGGCAGCTGGGCTAGCTCAAGCGGATTTCCCTGCTGCACCTTCCCGCAGCAGCCTCTCCAGCGCTGTGAAAAGGCTTCACGGAGGGTTGAGAGATCCTGCTGAATGGAGAGGGTTCTGGTGCAAGAGCGTGTCCCGTGCAACGTGGGCAGGAACACGTGGTGTGAACAGAGCCAGCCGCAAGTCTGTTTCCCCCCAAAGAGGGTAGCTATGGAATTGCGGAGATAAAAGTAGATGGATACCAGTATTGCCAGAAAATGATCACTGCTGATGAAGGAATTACTGACGCATCCAAAGTTTTGCAAGGGTTACTCAGCACTGCCCCCAAATTCTGCGTATGGTAGGGTGTTTGCTGGGGACCAAACACTGTTTCCATTAAGTTACCTAGAAAGAGGCAGGATATGTGGCAAGAAGCGCTCCGGCCTGCAGTGCCAGTCTCTTGGCCACAACACTGCGTGTACTGGCTTCGGAGAAGGCACACACACACCAGTTGTGCAATAAACACCAAGTTGTTTAATCATGGGCCGCACACTCATTCACAGCTTAGAACTGTGTTCCTAGAACAGTGAATCACATACTTCAGTCAAGAGGTGTACAGAACAGCATGCAGTATCCAAGAAGAATTCAACCGTGTACACCCACACATCAGCCTGGGAATGGGCACGTCTTATCCAGTAAATATACAGATAAAAATACCAGTGGTAGTCAGTCCATGTTTTTAGAAATATACCTCCTCTGGTTTCTATTCTCAACTGACCAGACATTAAGGAAGACGTGTTTCTGGACTGATGTGCCTTTTCCGTTGAGATGAATCTAAATCCAGTGCTAAATTTAGTTCAGCCTGCACAGAGGCAAAGCACTCTTATGCTCAATGGCTCCCTAGCAGGATGATTGCATCAGTAAATCGATTAATCAGATTAATCAATTAAAGTTGCCTTAATTGACTGAAAAGGCATTCCAGCAACGCATTTCTGGTTTGCTTTTCTGCATGACTGTAATAATAATATGCAGATTTAACCAATTAAACACCATTGATCAATATGCTCAGGGTTTTTTTTTTTTAAATTGGGAGACAGGTTACCTTTGTTGTATTAATTCTAAAGATACTTCTGTTCATACAGAGCTCCATACCTGGGAGGAACCCTTTCCTCAGAAGATGTACAGTGCATTTAACAAACACACATGCATGATTTGATTTCTCAACACACAGCAGAATGTATGAACATCCTCATTAAAAGCACTGAGCTGGACTGTTCTACCTGTTGTATTAAATGTGGCTTCTGCTGCAGTCTAGACAGCCAGCCAAAGACATACGCTTAAAGGCACAGTAAACAACACGCCAGTAAATGCAGGCAGCAGCATCTGCTTAGTGCAGCAAGCATCAGAAGTGCTGTGACAAAACAACCCCAAGCGCAAATTTACTGGGCTGTCCCCAGTAGCTCTGCTTAGAGTAGCCTTCTTAAAATGAATGAACACATTGGGCTGAACCCAGCAATGGCTCATCAATATGCAGGCCTGGAGACTTTCCAGAGGCATTCCAAAATCTGGACGCTGCCTTGGAGAATGCTTCAAGGTGCCCTCTGGTGCCCTGGGAACCTGGAGACTCGCACGCCTCCGAGGGAGGCAGGGAAAGCGGTCTGATGCATGCCTCACTCCCGCACCCCGCACTCGGTCGGTCTAGACAAGTTTTGCACCGTCTAGATGCAATGCTGCAGAGGGAGAAGGACGGTGGTTGGAGTGCTTTCTGTCTACAGGGTAAGCTGTTGGGCTGGGCCTCTTCCCCTCCGCTCCTCCCTTGGGCCAGCTGGGGACCTCAGAGAATTCCCCCTACTGCAGGTGAGGCAGAGGGGGGCTCCGTTTCTCAGCGTTCCAGCTCCGAGGTTGCCGGACCACAGCACTTGGGCTTGGAACCGTCTTTGTCCCCCACACAATGTTGGAAGGCACCCTTGGCAGCCTATGGACTTCTAGGCAAGGTTTGGAAAAATCTCACCTCTTTGCTGTGACCCGTATCAGGGATTATATAGTCATTCTTTGTTTCTGCTAGTACCTATTTTGAATGGCAGCAGCTGGAGAAGTGAGGATTTGAACTCAGGACCCTCTATATGCAAACTAGGGGCTGTTCCATTGGTTTGCTTGCTTCATTTTTATACTGCCCAATAGCCGAGGCTCTCTAGGTGGTTAACAAACATTTAAATTGAGCATCAAAAAGCATACACATCGATTTAAAATAATTAAAATCTAAATAAAACCGTAACAGCAATTGCAGTTGCTATGATTCAGCATAGCAGCATGGCAGTGGTGCAAAATAAAATGGAATATATAAAAACAAAGTTTAAAAGTTAAACTATTAAAATACTGGGAACATAAAAAGGTATTCACCTAGCATTGAAAAGATACATAGTAGGCCCTTTTTGGACATAGGTGCGCCTTTTCGGGGAGCTCATTCCAAAATTGGGATGGCACAACCAAAATGTCCCTTCCCCTTCTAGCCACCTGCTTCACTTTCTTTAGACGGGCTCCTGGGAAAAGGACCCCTGAAGATGATCTCAGGTACTAGGCAGATATATCTGGGAGGAGATGATTCTTCAGAAAACCTCTCCCCAAGCCATGTAGGGCTTTGCTAAATTCAAACAGAATGTCAAGTAAATTTAAATTTATTTGCTCCCATGCCGTATGCCCAGCCAAGGACTTAGAAATCCTTGTGCTCTCTGTTTGCAATATATGCCACATCAATGACAGTTTATGATAATATTGCAAGATCTGAAGTGCATGTCCAGGTAAGGATGTAGCTGCCTAGACATCTTATTTCTGTAGAATCCAGATTAAATTCATAGATTGTCTGACTTTCCTCAAGGAAGTGCACAGGTCTTCAACCCTGTGAGGCTGAGTAGGCACAGAGACAAAGCGGATCTGAATCCAGAGTTCAGCATGAGGATACTGCAGGGCTTCACGGGCTTTATGATGTTGCAATCCTTACAACAACTCTGTAAGGGAGACCAGTAGCGTTTATGCCAGTGTAGACACTGACAGGCATCTATGGAAGCTCCTCAGTCAGGCAGAAAAACAAGGAAGAGAGTCCCATGGAGTTGCTCTTCTGCAGCTTCACAGCCTGGTCGTTCGCTCCGGCCCAGGCAATGGTGGTGGCGAAAAGGAGCGGCAGACGATGCTGAGTCCTCCTTGCTCACTTCATCCTTTGCCTGTCAAGCCGGCAAGCAGTCGCAGCGATGAGAAAGGGGACAACGGGCAGCATCTCACCTGGGTGTTACGGTGCCAAGAAGGCAGACTTACTGAGAGAGGTGTGGGAAAGTCCTTCAGCTAGGAAAAGAAGACCTAATGCATCAATACAAGATGGGGAATACATGGCTCAACAGAACAGAAAATGAAAAAGACCTTGGAGTACTGTGGGCAACAGGCTAAATATGAGCCAACAATGTGATGCAGCTACAAAAAGGGCAAATGCTATTTTATTTATTTATTTATTTATTTATTTATTTATTTATTTTATTAAAACATTTTTATGCCGCCCCATTCGCCGAAGCCTCGGGGCGGCTTTTGGGATGCATTACTTCCAAACCATGAGAAGTAGTAGTTCCTCTATACTCTTCACTAGTCAGACCTCACCTGGAATACTGTGTCCAGTTGTGGACACCAAGATTTAAGAAAGGTGCAGAAAAATTAGAAAGGGTCCAGAGGAGGGCAACAAAAATGATCCAGGGTCTGGAAGCACTGACCTATGAGGAGAGACTGGGAGAACTGGGCATGTTTAGCCTTGAGAAGAGATGACTGAGGGGGGACATGAGATCCCTCTATAAGTACCTCAAAGGTTGTCACAAAGAGGAAGGCCAAGATCTCTGCTTGCTGATGCCAGAGTGTAGGACATCATTTCAAGTTGTGACAAACTAGATTCAGGCTGGACATCCGGAAAACCTTCCTCACTGTCAGAGCAATACAACAGTGGGACCAGCTGCCTGGAGAAGTGGTGGGCTCTCCCACACTGGAGACATTCAGAAAGAAACTGGGCAGCCCTCTGAGCAGGATGGTGTACCTTGGTGTCCTGCAACAGCAGGGGCTTGGATCCAATGGCCTTCTTGGCCCTTTCTAAGCCTACTGTTCTACGATTCTGGAACCAACACAGTAGGTCAGCATTATTTTTTCTAACATTGCAGTCTTGTGGTGGTATGTTGCCAAAGGAAGCTGGTGAATTTGTAACGAAGGCAGAAAGCCAAGTGTGGGACTTCTTGCTTTTGCCGAAAAAGACACTTGCCATAAAAGAGGATATGCCTCATCAAAAGCCAAGACATACCTGTATAAAATGTGCATGTGCTAGTTGAGAGGCACAGGTGCAAATTAGAAGTATTACAATTTAAACAGAAATATGTCTCCTAAC